ACGACAGCCAGAGACCACCGAAGACCGCCAGAGGACCGCCGAAGACTGCTGAAGACCACCCCAAGGCAAATGGGTAACGACGGGTCCATGATCGAACGCCTAGGATCCTGGCGCAGCCGGTCCGATCCTGGCGCATCCGAGCCGATGCAGCCCGATCCGACGCACAGTCCGAGTCGACCAGACTTGCCGATTGGATGCCGACTTTACCTCCCCCTCGTGCGGACGCCGAAGGTGGGACATCACGCCCGACCGGTGGGTCCAGTTCAAGTACGAGCAGGAGGACCTCGACCGCTTCGCAGGCGAGCGGGACGCGTTTCGCGGGGAGCCGCGCCTGAGCCCCGATGGCGTCATCGGTCTGGTGGAGGATGTAGAGATGGACTGGACCACCGTCCTCCAAGGTGCGAAGGAGGAAACAACCGCATGCACAGACATCGGGGAAGCGCAAGACTCGAGGTTGCCAGAACTCGACCAGGTCCCGTTTTTGTTTCTGATGGCCGCGTCAGGCAAGTTCGAGTCCGTCAAACTCGAGTAGTACGTCTCCCAGAATAATTTTTCGGAGGTCCGTGCGGCCCTCCGGAAGTTTCTGTTCATGCTGGTTTTGCCTTTCTGAAGGTGCCATATCTTGTACGCGTGTCGGAGACCTTTATACGATGCGTTTTCAGGATCTCTGCATGGATCGGTTCGCAGAGAACCCGGAGCTCATGGAGTATTTTGGAATCCCAGCGCCAGAGGACAAAGAGATAGTCTACGTTCCCCACGACACCTCTGTGCCGCAGGAGGGCGCGTACCTCGAGCTGCGCATGCAGGCCTACTGGCTCGCCTTGCATGTCTGGCTGCTCCACAGCAAGCAGCACGCCGTGCAGGAGGGCGAGGGCCTCTTCGGCAGCGCCCTCTGCGCGCTGATCACGCGCCGGCTCTTCGAGTTCCAGTGGGACCGGATCCGTCTGCTGCTGTACTACAGAAAGGTGCCTGCCATGAGCATCACGAACGAGCTGCAGGACATCCAAGAGTTCGTCTTTGGCCTCTGCGTTGCCCTCGACGACATCTTTCGCGAGGAGGGCGCTCTGGGGCCCGGCGGCACCGCCGGTGCTCTCGGGCTCGGGGATGCCGCGCTGCCCGACGGCTGCCTCGGGCTCGCGCCGCGCCTGAAGTACGCGCTGTGGTCCAACGTGTACAGCGGCCTCACGCCGCACAGCGCGGTGCCCCTGCACGAACTGACCGTGTACCTTCTCCGGCAGCGCATGCTCATGGAGGCACTCCCCCGAGGCACCTTCTTCATGGGCCACTTCAGGTGGGCCGATTTTCCTCCGCGCGAGCAGCCCGCGGCGGGATAGCTCCACGAGCGCCGGCGGCGCGGCCCCCCGCGGGTGCTGCAGGTGCGGTGCGCCCTCGCCAGAGAATGCAGGTGTCGCTGCGCTGTGGATCGGCCGTCTCGCTGCTTCCGCACGCCCGTGCTCGCTCGTCTCTGCCCCTTCGCTGCCCCGTCCCCCTGCTGTTTCGTTTCGATCGGTTGCTCGGTAACTCCCTGTCGGAGTGTTGCGGCGTGGCGGCGGCGACGCGGGCGCGAGTCTGTGGTCCAGTTCTCTCAGTTGGCCTGCCTTCTCGTTCGTCGCTCCGTGCACACGGTCGTTGATTGGTCCGTCCTCAGTTCCCCCGTCGTCTTGTGCACGTTCGCGAGGTCTCGCTTCGGTGGCCCGTTGGTTCCCTTCCTCGTGTCCCGCTGTGCAGAGGTGGGTCTCCACGGGCCCCGCTCGAAGGCCCGTTTGTTTCCCGACTCGGGGTCTCGCTTCGATCAGGAGGGAAAGAAACACACAGACACAATGAATCGTCGACTCTCAGGAAAATATGGGAAAATACGGGAGGTAGGCGGGAAGACAAAAGCCCAGAAAATATGGGAAAATATGGGGAGCCTTTTTACCTGTGTGTATTCACTTGTGTGTCCCAGGGCCCCTTCACGATCAGTAAGCAGGTCGACCCTGGAGAATCAAGGGTACCGCGACGTCCTCTCCCCGGATTTTGGTACCGTGTGTCCTCATGGCCTGCTCGTGCCCTGCTGTCCTGGGCAGCGTTCTGCGGTCTCCCAGGATGTGCCGTGTTCTCTGTCGGAGGGGGAGGAGGCGGAGGAGGAGGAGGAGGAGGAGGAGGGGGAGGAGGAGGAGGAGGAGGAGGAGGAGGAGGAGGAGGAGGAGGAGGAGGAGGAGGAGGGCGGCTGCAGTCGCCCCGTGCACTCCTGCATGCTCGATGCCCGGATCGCGCCCTCGTTGGGCGCCCGACCGCGAGGCCCCGATCGGTTCTTCCCACTCCCCGGGCGGACCGCGAAGGGGGAGTCGTCTCGAGTCATCCAGACTGCTTCGCCCCCCATGCCGCCAGCTCCCCTCTCCGACTGGCTGGCTGTCTGGTAGCTCGGCTGACTGCCTGGTTGGCCGGCTGCATGGCTGGCTGGCTTGCTCGGTGGCCGAGTGGCCGGCTGGTTAGACAGTTACCTGGTCGGCTGCTTGCTTGATCTAACAGATCAGGGTAAATGGAGTGATCAGGAAAAGGCGGGGGACTACCTGGGACCAGGGGATGGGTAGCGGGCCAGGGAGGGGGGAGGGAACAACGAGGGGGATGGAGCGATCGTGGGGTGGGCGGGTGGGGTGTATGGGGGGTGGGGGGGGCAGGGGATGGGAGAGGATCAGGGGAGGGGATGGACCGATGAAGTGGAAGGGGCCAGTCAATGGAGGGATACCATGGGGGGAGAAGAGGCAGTGAGGAGAAGGGCATGGATTGGGCAAAATGGGACTACGGGAGTGGAAGGTGCCAGGGCAGGGGAGGGGCCAGGGGATTTGGTCTCGGACAGCGCGGATCCGTTGTTCGATTCCACGCGTGAAGCTGTTCGCGTGGGGGCTCAAGACATCTTCTAGACTCTTCGCGTAGCCCCAGCAGCCCATCCAGAAACGATGCCCAGACGAGTTGCCCTGATCAGGGATGGGGAGGAGCATGCAGTGCAATCAAGGGCTGGGGAATACGTCGTACCCCAATGGGGAAGGATGGAGGAGGAATCGGATGAGGAGGAGGAGGAAGAGGAGGAGTGGGAGAAGGGAGGAGGAAGGAGGAGGAACAGGAGAATGAGGAAGAGGAGCGGAGGAGGAGGGGAGGAGGAAGGAGGAGGAGGAGGAGGAGGAGGAGGAGGAGGAGGAGGAGGAGGAGGGAGGAGGAGGAGGAGGGAGGAGGAGGGGGGAGGAGGAGGAGGAGGAGGAGGAGGAGGAGGAGGAGGAGGAGGAGGAGGAGGAGGAGGAGGAGGAGGAGGAGGAGGAGGGAGGAGGAGGAGGAGGAGGAGGAGGAGGGCGGGGGGCTCCTTAATTAGCCCCCCCCCCAGGAGGCCAACCCTTGGTAAAGCCAATGATTTCGGCCTCCTCGCCGAGGCCTCTTGGGGCGTCTTGGGTGCCTCTGGGGGACATCTTGGGGCCTCTTGGGTTCTCTTGGGGGCCTTTTGGGGGCATCTTAGGGCCTCTTGGGGGCCTGTTGGGGCCTCCTGGGCACCTCTTGTGGCCCTCTTGGGGCACCCTTGGCCCGAGGAGGCCAACATGTGACCAACACCTTTGTAACATCATGTTTGCCTTCTCGCCGAGGCTGTCTTGGGCTTGCCAATGCGCCCAAGTCGGGCGCCCGAGGAGCTTAATAGAGCCTTTTGGGCATCTCTTGGGGTACCCTTGGGGCACCCTTGGGATCCTCGTGGCAATCTTTGGAAGAGATTGATCAAAGGAGGGGGGCTCCTTGATATGGTCCCCCCCCCCGAGGCCAACATGTGGCCAGCACCATAGTAGACCCAATGATGTTTGCCTCCTCGCCGAGGCCTCTTGGGGCGTCTTGGGTGCCTCTGGGAGGGCTCTTGGGACTTGGGGGTCTCTTGGGAGCCTATTAGGGCATCTTGGGGGGGCATCTTGTGGGCCTCTTGTGGGCCTCTTGGGGCCATTTGAGTTTTGGTGCCCTCTTGGGGCACTCTTGGGGAGCCTTGAGGGCCCTCATTTGGCTGTCTAGGAAGAGATCGATCAAAGACGGGGGAGGTTCCGATTAGCGTTGCCGCCCCAGGAGGCCAACATGTGGCCAACATCTTAGTAACACCAATGATGTTGGCCTTCTCGCCGAGGTCTCTTGGGGCGTCTTGGGTGCCCCTGGGGTGCCTCTTGGGGCGTTTTGGGGTTCTCTTGAGATGAAGCGTCGTGGAGGCATCATATGGGGGCCTCTTGGGGGGCTGTTGGGACCTCCTGGGCACCTCGTGGGGCCCTCTTGGGGCACCCTTGGGAGACTCGGGGACCATCTTGGGGCCATGGTGGAGGAGATCGATCAACGGATGGGGGGCTCCTTGATTAGGGTCCTCCCCCAGGAAGCCAACATATGGCCCGAACCTCAGTGATCTTGGCCTTCTCGCCGAGGCCTCTTGAGGCGTCTTTGGGTGCCGCTGGGTGTCTCCTTGGGGCCTCTTGGGGGTCTCTTGGGAGCCTCTTGGGGGCATCTTAGGGCCTCTTGAGGGCCCGTTGGGGCCTCCTGGGCACCTCTTGGGGCCCTCTTGGGGCACCCTTGGCCGCTTCCGGGCCAACTTTGGGTCACCTCGGAAGAGATCGATCAAATTGGGGGGCCTCCTTAATTAGCGTTGCCGCCCGAGGAGGCCAACATGTGATCAACACCTTTGTAACATCATGTTTGCCTTCTCACCGATGCTGTCTTGGGCTTCCCAAGGCGCCCAAGTCGGTTTGAAAGGACGGCAGTGGGCCGCCAAGACGGCCCAAGATGGCTCCATGAAGCTTTCAGTTCAGATGCCGAATGAGCTGCAAACGAAGCCACCGAGAGGCAAACGCGTAAGGTCGTTTAGTTCGTTCGTTTACTTTCAGCTCTTCGGCTTTTCGCGTGAGCATGGTTCTGAGCGGATTTCGCAGGGCTCCAAGGCGACCCAAGAAGACTTCAATAAGCGCCCAAGACCGTTCAAGAGGGCTTCAAGACAGAACCCCAAACTGCCTCGGAGGCGTCCGAGATGGCCAAAGTGAGCTCCAAGACGACACTTGACGTCGCCGAGACGACAGAAAGGGGGCGTCAAACCTAAGGCGCCCTCATACCGCTCCAACTGCCCCAAGATGTTCCAAATAGCCTCGTGAGGCACTCCCCAGCTGGTCCAAAACGACCTCAGTAGAGCGTTCTGACGGCCTGCGAGGGCCCCGAAACGACAGCAGGCCCCAACAAGACTGGTCAACAGGCTCCGCGAGGTTTGAGGAACGGATCGAGAGGCCACCAGGATGCCCAAAGAGGAGCGAAGACAAGCCGACACGGCAGGACGCATCAGAACACCGCAGAGCTTTCCGTAGTGCCTTAACATTGTTTTGTGAGCGATCGTGGCTCGGGATCGCTGTCCTCCCCTCCCCCTTTCCCTCCTTCCTCCCACTCCCTCCCCCCTTTCCCTCCTGTCCCCTCATGGTCCCACCCCCATCGCCTCCCTCCCCCCCTCGCATCCCCTCTATCTCTGTTCCCATCCAATCCTATCCCGCCCCATCATCCGTCATCTCCACTTCCGCGGGTGCGCAGCTGCAAGCCCCCCGCGTCCACCGGCCTCGGCCCCTCCCTTCAGGGCCATCGGCACGACAGACCCGAGGCAGAATCCCAGAAGCCCTCCCTCGCCTCTCGCCTCACCCATGCAGGGCCCACTCCGATCCGATCCATCCGACTTTGATGTCGAGTCAGCCCCGCCCAGTGCGATCCGATGTCGGCACTTCGACATGCCTGCACGGCGGTGTTGTCATCCTGGCGCGGCCGATCCGATCAGATTTCGACTCTGCCGATGCGCTCCGTGCCGATGCGGCCCTGCCGGGTGCACATTCCGACCTCGTCCGATTTATCGATTCGACGTTAACGGCTCATGCCCCTGGCTCCACGAGTATTTCTTTGCCTTCCTCTGCTCTCCTCCTCCTCCTCTTCCTCCTGCGTTGCCGAAATCGACTGGCGCATCTGTCGGCTCACAAGGTGCAGGGGAACATTCTGCGGCCGCCAACCGCCTTTCTGAACGCGCGTCCGCTCTTGCGCCTCTTCGATGCGAGGAAAAGGAGGCGGCGGAGGCAAGAGGAGGAGGATGATGATGAGGAGGAGGAGGAGGAGGAGGAGGAGTGGGAAGAGGAGGAGGAGGAGGAGGACAAATGTAAGTCCCAAACCCATCAAGAATGTTGCATCAATCCCTCCCTCCCAAGTTCCCTCTCCAGAGGTCCCTACAAGGTCTCTTCAGAGTTCCCACTGCGCGAAGTGCCCAGTCGGAAGACAACCGTCTGAAAATCTTCAACCATGCCAAAGCACCATTCCTGGAACTTCAACGCCGCGAACCAGCGCCACTGTTGCGTCCTGACGATCCTGAGTCGTGCCAAGACAGAGTTCCTGGAACTTCACACCGCAAATCAATGTGTCTGCCGCTGGCAATCCCAAATCGTGCCAAAACACCAGCATTGGGACGTCAGCCACAATAATACTTGAACATGCTGTAGTATGTCGAGACGAGTGTGCGCGGCGCTACCGCGAGAGCCCCATCTTGAAAACGAACCCCCCTCCAACCGTAAAGCTCCGACAAGCTTGCAAGACGAGCTTGCGCGGCGCTGAGGCGAGAGCCACAACGAAAGTGACCCACCCTCCATCGGTAAAACTCTTGTAAACTTCTTAGACGAGTGTGTGCAGCGCTAGGGCGAGAGCCACATCTCGAAAACCGTCCGTCCTTCATCCGTGGAGCCCATGCAACCTCAAAGGCGACGGTGTGCGGCGCTAGGGTGAGAGCCACATCGTGGAAGCCCTCCACCCTGGAAGCCAAAAGTGCGCGGCGTCAAGGCGAGAGCCACACTTTGAAAGCGACGACATCCCTGTTGTGCCAGGATCGGAGGGGGAGGAGGTGGAGGAGGAGGAGGAGGAGGGCGGAGGGGGTGGAGGGAGAGGGGGAGGAGTAAGCGGAGAAGGGGAGCGGGAGACGAGGCGAAGGAGGAGGAGGGGGAAGGGGTGGGGGAGGAGGAGGCGAAGGAGGGTGAGCGGAAAAAGTATCGGGCGAAGGAGGGCCTACGAAGGGGGAGAGTAAGAGGCACACGCTTCCCTTGCGCGCCTCCGCTCCGTTCCTCCTCCGCACTCGCCGCTGCCGTGGCTGCGGGTGCGGTCGCCTCTCTGAGTGGCACGGGGCGGGGACGGCAGGGTGCGGGCTGGGGGGCGGAGGGAGGAGTAAGTCTAGGAGACTTTCGGAGGTCCACGCGGATTTCTCGGGCTGGCGCTGGGCCCCTCCTGGCGCCTGTGGCGCCTCCCCTGGCACTTTTTGGTGGAACAGGGGAGGGTGGTGACCTTGCAGTTTCTGTTCCTCTATGAGGTTGGCAGAGCGTCGGTCGTTCGGTCGGTCGCGGACCACGAGTGGCCCGGTCAGCTGAGCTCTGCCCTGTGGTGAATGCGTCCACGTTTGCCCACATTTCGACAAAAAGGCGCCTCGAGCGCCTCAACAAGGGACCCCCCCACTCGTCTTCACCCCCCAACCGTTCAATCCTCGGGGGTTGAGGGAGCAGGAGGAGGGAGAGTGTTGAAGGTGAGGGTGAGATGTGCCAGGCGCCTGCACGGTGCATCGGCAAACGAAGCTACTTTGAGCTTCGCACACGCCCCAAATCACGTAATGGTTATGGTACACTGCCCGCGGGCGCAGGAGGAGGGGAAGGGAGTAAGAGAAATCGTGTCCACGCACTCCAAGAAAAACTGGTTAACTCAAGACCTGCCCGCCCTAGCAGCACGTCGGGCGGTGCAACAGGGTGCCCCGAGCGCTGGTAGGGCAATTTTGGAGCGACTCGCATTGCCCCTGGGAGACGGGGGGGGAGGGGGGACGGGGGAGGCGGAGGACAAGGGAGCGAGAGGGAGGAGCCAGGTCATGCCATCGTCAGCAAATTTGTGGACGCACTCAGCCCATTGCCGTTTGGGCCTCCCACGTCGTCGATTCAGAGCCCACCGTCGCGGCTCACACGAGCCCAGCTCGCAAGTCAGAGAGCCCTAAGCAGATGATCATTAGGAAGGATGGCAATCGTAGTCCACAGTTTCGTAGAGCGATGAAGAGGAAGAGGATACTAGTGATTATCCATGGTGATGATGTGGAGAAAGACCAGCGGCAGGCGATGGTGCGACCTCGTGGCGCACGCCGGCGAGCGAACTCGAACAATTGTTTTCGAGTGCAGCTCATGTGCGCTGCTCTGGTTGTCCCTGTGTCTCGCAGGGAGGCGGACTTTTGGGCTCTCCTCGACGCGCCACTCGCTCCCGCGCTCGGAGCCATCGTGCAACCGAGCGTGTGACTGAAATCTAGCGGGGTCTTCTCGTTTTGAGGCCACCCGCCCCGCGGTCGTTACACTGCTCTGACCAGCGCAGCCTGTCAGACTGCTTCCTGGATGGCCCGGAGGGCCCATTGGTTGGGGGAGTGCGGAGGGCTTCCAGAGAAGAACCAGCCGGCTGAGCTGGTCATCTACACCCCCCTGGCTGCTGGTAAGGCGTCCCCGCAGCGCTTTCTCGCTGCGGTCGATTGATAGGCATGGCGGCACGTCTCTCTGCCCCTGGTGCTCGGGTCGTATCGCCTCGCCCTTCTGGCGATGATGGTTATGATGCTGGTGGTGCTGGTGTTTATGCAGATGGTCAGGAGGACAACGGGGAAGACGAGGAGGAGGAGGATGACTAGGAGAAGGAGAAGAAGGAGGAGGAGGAGGACTAGGAGGAGAATTAGGAGGAAAAGGAGGAGGAGGAGGAGGAGTTGGAGGAGGAGGAGGAGGAGGAGGAGGAGGAGGAGGAGGGAGGAGGCGGAGGAAGAACAAGAAGAAGACGGGTGCGGAGGAGTGGGAAAGGATGATGATGTTGAGGATGATGCTGATGATGATGCTGATGCTCATGCTGATGCTGCTGCTGATGATGATACTGATGATGATGATGCTGATGTTTATGATGATGCTGATGCTGATGCTGATGCTGATGCTGCTGCTACTGATGATGCTGATGTTGCTGATGTTGCTGCTGATGATGATGATGATGCTGATGATGCTGCTGCTGATGATGCTGTTGATGATGATGCTGCTGATGCTGATTGTGCTAATGCTGATGCTGATGCTGATTCTGATGCTGATGCTGATCATGATGATGCTTCTGATGATGATTTTGAGGATGATGCTGCTGCTGCTGCTGATGATGATGATGATGATGCTGATCATGATGATGATGATGATGCTGATGATATTGATGTCTATGATGCTGATGCTCATGTTGACTCAGATGATGCTGCTGCTGATGATGATTATTCTGCTGTCGCTGATGATGATGATGATGATGATGATGATGATGGTGGTTGTGGTGATGAATATGATGATGATGATGCTGCTGCTGATGATGATTATGATGATGATGCTGCTGCTGCTGCTGATGATGATGATGATGATGATGATGGTGGTGGTGATGATGATGATGATGATGATGATGCTGATGCTGATGATGATGATGATGATGATGATGGTGATGATGATGATGATGCTGATGCTGATGATGATGATGCTGATGATGATGATGATGATGATGATGATGATGCTGATGATGATGATGATGATGATGAGGAGGCGGAGGAGGAGGAGGTGGAGCAGGTTGGAGGAACAGGACGAGGAGAAGCACAGTGTTTAGTTGGAGCTTGCGATTGAGATTGCATGGTGAGGTAGTGTGCAATTTTCTTTGAGGTGGTGGTATGATGGTCATATGGTGGCAGTAGGATAATCATGTGGTGGTGGTATGATGATCGGATGTTGGTGGTATGATGATCAGATGTTGGTGGTATGATGATCCGATGTTGGTGGTATGATGATCATGTGGTGGTGGCATGATGATCATATGGTGGAGCATGGTGATATGATGCTGCTGGTGTGATGATCACATGTTGGTGGTCTGATGATCATATGGTGGTGGCATGTGATCAGATGGTGATGTTCTGATGATCATGTGGTGGTTGTATGATGATCATATGGTGGTGGTACGATGATCATATGGTGGTAGTGTGGTGATCATATGGTGGTGGTTTCATGATCGTTTGGTGGATGTATGATGATCAGTTGTTGGTGGTTTGATGGTCGTACGGTGATGCTATGATGAGCATAGTTGGGTGGTATGATGATCATGTGGTGGTGGTATGTCTATCAAATGTTTGTGGTATAATGATCAACTGTTGGTGGTATGATGATATGATGTTGGCGGTATGATGATCATGTGGTGCTGGTGTGATGATTATATGGTGGTGGTTTTGTGATCATATAGTGGTGGTATGATGATCATATGGTGGTGGTATTATGATCACAAGGTGGTGGTATGATGGTCAGATGTTGGTGGTATGATGATCAGATGCTGGTGTTTTGATGATTTGATGTTGGTGGTAGGCTGATCATATGGGGGTGGCCCCGAAGACGGCCCACGACGGCCCAATACACTTCCACAAGAGCCTCTCAACGGTCTACAACCCCCCAGGACGGCCGGAGATAGCTCCAAGAGGGCCCTAAGATAGCCGGGTGATGCCAAACATAATCTATGCCATGTGCATGGTTCTGGTCCTCTGAAAGGCTTCTGGGAGGCTTCTGAGAGGCTCTTGGAAGGCCCCTGCAAGGCCCCTGAGAAGCCTCGGGGAGGCTTCTGAGAGGCTTTTGAGAGGCTTCTGAGTCGCCCCTGAGAGGCTTCTGAAAGAGCCTCTGAGCGGCCTCTGAGAGGCTTGTGGAAAGCCTCTGAAAAGGCCTCTGAGAGGGCTCTGAGAGGCCTCTGCGAGGCTTTTGCGAGGCTTCCGATAAATTTCTGCGAGGCCTCTGAGAGGCTTATGAGAGGCAGCAGAAAGGCTTCTGATGGGCTTCTGAACGGTTTCTGCGAAGCCTCGGGGAAGCTTTTCAGAAGCCTCTGAGGGGCCTCTGAGGGGCCTCTGAGGGGCCCTCAAAGGTCTCTGAGAGGCCTCTGAGAAGCTTCTGAAGATCCTCCCACAGGTCTCTGAGAGGCGTCTGAGAAGCCTCTTAGAAGCCTTTTGGAAAAAGGCCCCTGAAAGTTTCTGGGAGGCTTCTGAAACAAACTTCTGATAGGGTTTTTTTTAGCGGCTTCTGAAAAGCTTCTGAGAGGCCTCTGACGGGCTTCTGAAAAGCTTCTGAGGAGGCTCTCACAAAGGCTTCTGAGAAACTTCGGAGAGGCCTGTGAAGAGCCTCTGAGAGGCCTCTGAACGGTCTCTGAGACGCCTCTGAGAGGCCTCTGAGAGGCCTCTGCGGGGGCTTGTGAAAACATGCTTCTGAGAAGCCTCTGAGAGGCTTCTGAGAGGCCTCTGAGGGGCCTCTCAAAGGCTTCAGAGATGCATCTGAGAAGCCTCTGAGGAGCCTCTGACAGGCCTCTAAGGGGCCCCTGACAGGCCTCTGAGGGGCTTCTGAGAGGCGCTTGAGAAACTTTTGAGAGGCCCCTCGAGAGGCCCCTCAGAGGAGGCCTCTGAGAGGCTTCTGAAAAAGGGGCCTCTGAGGGGCCCCTGAGAAGCTTATGAGGCCTCTGATGGGCTTCTGAGAGGCTTCTGGGAAGCTTCTGAAGGTGCCTTTCAAAATGCCTCTGGGAATCCAGTGGGAGGCCTCTGAGGGGCCTCTGCGAGGCCTCTGAAAGGCCTCTGAGTGGCCTCTACGGCCCCCCTGCGGCCACCAAACCCCCGATTGCCCTAGTAGTAGTAGTAGTAGTAGTAGTAGTAGTAGTAGTAGTAGTAGTAGTAGTAGTAGTAGTAGTAGTAGTAGTAGTAGTAGTAGTAGTAGTAGTAGTAGTAGTAGTAGTAGTAGTAGTAGTAGTAGTAGTAGTAGTAGTAGTAGTAGTAGTAGTAGTAGTAGTAGTCGTAGTAGTAGTAGTAGTAGTAGTAGTAGTAGTAGTAGTAGTAGTAGTAGTAGTAGTAGTAGTAGTAGTAGTAGTAGTAGTAGTAGTAGTAGTAGTAGTAGTAGTAGTAGTATAGCAAGTTGTATTTGCTTTCTTCTTTCATATTTGTCGCCCTACTGATCAGAGCAGCTTCGCTGACCTGGTCTGCACATCTGTTCAAGCTCCCTGTCTAGGGCTTCCCGGCAAGCGGGCTCCTCGTTGACTCCTGCTAGTAGAGTCCCTAGTAGGGACCCCACTAGTCAAATCCTTAGTTTGGACTCCATTAGTAGAGATCCCAGCAGGGGCTACAGTAATAGAGTCCCCAGAAGGGACTCCATTATTGGAGTCCCTACCAGTGGACTCGGTACTGGGAGAGTTCCGACCAAGGACTGTCACAGTAGAGCCCCTACTAGGGACTCCACTCGTGGAGCCCCTAGTAGGCACTCCACTCGTTAGTTAGGTTCCAGTAGTGGAGTCTTTAGAAGGAACTCCACTCGTGGGGACTCCACTACGCATAGCCTCCGTAGTGGTTTTGCTCGCAAGGATTCGTGAGGATTCCTTGCTGCGCCTGTGCGCACATGCTTCTCCCATGCAGGAATACGTCGGGGTGAGGAAGGAGGCCGCAGGAACTTGGAGGAGCGAAGTAGAATGGACTTGTTGTGGGGGTGTTGTTGGGGTGTGTGTGTGTGGGGGGGGTGTTGTGGTTGTGTCTGGGGGGCGGGGTCCGCCGGGTCGGCGCTGGCCGCCCTGCTTGTTTGTTGTTCTTGATGATGATGGTTACGATTATCGGTATCATCACGACGAGGGATGGCAATGACGATGGAAGTTGTGGTGACGATGACGGTGGAGAGGAGTTGGGGGAGGAGGGCGGGAGTGAGGCTGCTGGTCACCGGCTGGTCGCTGCACGTCGCCTGCCTTCTCGTCCGCCTCCCCGCGCCCGCAGGCCATGTCGTGGGGCGGCGGATATCCAGCGAACGGGGGCTACGGCGGGGGCGGGGGCTACGGCGGGGGCCGCGGCCTCGGGCACCTCGAGTGTTAGAGCACTCAGCGGCGGCAGCACCATGGGTACTTCTTGCAGCTCTGCTCGGGTCGGCGCTGGACCCGTGCGGTCGGGGACGTTTTGGACAGCGCGTCGCGCCGCCGGCTCTGGCCCACCGCCTCTCTGCGCGACACGCTGTCCACGCTGTTGTCCCCAGTCGTCAGAGTCTCGAGCTTTCCCCGACCTTCCGTTCCGCCCCGCGGAGCGAGGCGACACACTGTCCACTTGCAGTGCACAGCGCATGGCGTGTCGTCGGGGCCGCCGCGGCGACACGCTATCCGAAAGGTTCCCGTCCATACTCCCGCAGCCCAGGGAAGGGGTGTGTAAGGGGGTTCACGCGCCGACGTACGATGCTTGCACGCCGTCATTGGAGAGAGCCGCCGAAGTGAAGCGCCTGTGCTTTTTGGGCCGAGTGCCACTGTGTGTGTGTGTGAGAGTGTGTGCGGGAGCCGTGTCTGGAATCCTGTGTGTGTATGTCTGTGTGGCACCCTGCGTGCGTCCCTATATGTGTGTAGGGAACCCGATGTGCGGAACACTGCGCGTGCAGCCATAGCTGTGTGAGTGTGGAAATCGACCTCCGTGGGAGCAGAAGTGTGGAGCCGAAGCCGCCTCCCAAAGCGGCCACTGGACATTGTGACGGACACCCGTATGAGCCCCTGAGAACGCAACTGGCCACCAGACAGCGCGTTGGACAGGTCCAGTGTTACTTACAGCGCAGGTACGTGAGGGCCCATCAGTGCAAGCACTGTTTTGCAAAAAACCGAGGGCGAGATTGGTGGGGGTTCGCCTTCAGAAGAGGCCCATGCGGTGCTCAACCCCTGGGCATGCACACTGTAGCGCAGACCTCAACCCGAACATTGGACACACCTCGTCTTCCTGCTCTTTTTCCTGCTGCTGCTGCTTCTGCTGCTGCTCGTCGTCATCGTCGTCGTCGTCTTCGTCGTCGTCGTCGTCTTCGTCGTCGTCGTCGTCGTCGTCGTCGTCGTCGTCGTCTTTCTCATCCTTCCCCAGCGCTGGCTTTCAATCCCGAGCCGTTTTCTGGCTAGGTAAGGACCCCAACCCGGGCCCTGGGCCCGCACCCCCTCCCCCCCCCTTCTCCTCGGAATGCGCCTATACGCAACGACCGTGCCTGGCCATCTCTCAGCTTCTGTGACTGCACAGGCCGCTCTCGGCAGTCATCTGTTTCTCGAGTGGCTTTGAGTATGATTTTCGGAAGAGGTGCGCTCTCGACCCGCGGATCAAGAAAAGTTTCTCGAGTGACGCTCTGGTGACACGTGTGCGGATCGTGCGAGAGCAGCCGCTGTGCCTGGCAGTGGTCATCCTTGGACCCCGGGACGGCGTGCCCATCCTTCCGGCCTCGGCGAGGAGGGCGGACCAACCATGCCAGGGCCCAGGACATGGCCCCGGCCAGGCACTGGCGGTGTGCAGGTTCCTCTCGCGTGCCGAAGCCGAGCCCGAGACCCTCTGCCGCCGGCGGCGCGTCCTGGCCAGAGTGTCGGAGGAGAATGCCAGCCGTGGCGACGAGTGCGCCCCGGGAGCCCTGAAAGGAGTCCAGACCGGGGCGCACGTCGTGGGGACGTGAGCTGACGGGGGGGCGAGCCAATCCCAGTCTTGGGAGCGGTGTGGGTCGGGGGCGGAAAAGAGGGGGGTGATGACTAGGGGGGGGGGTGGATATCATGGCGTGGGCCATGAGATTTCCCCAGATTTCATGGCGCCTCCTCTTATTTCATCACGTCCCTGGCCCCCCCGCTGGGCCGCGCACATGCCGACGGTCATGATTTGCACCCCCCCTCTTGGACACCCCCCTCTTGGCCGCTCCCGAGTGGGCCGACCTGTCCTCTCCCCTCCCCTCGATGCCCCGGGCTTGGGACCTGCTATGCGGCCAGCCGGGGTCGCGACTGCCTGGGTCAGCGCCGACCCGGGTCAGCGTGTCCCTGACAAAAACCTCCGAAAACCTTGACCATCGACCAGGCATGCCTCGGATGTGGATAAATCGCTGCAGAGCGTCCTGGAACGTTCTCAGGTCGTTCCCGAGTGCTCCGAAAGGCCGCGGCGCCCGATACATCCCCGAGACCCCGCCGGCTCTCAGAGATTCCAGATTCATCCGAGCTTGTCTCTCGAAGGAGGAGGAGGGTCGAGGGAGGGCCGAACCAAACCGAACCTCCTCCTCCTCGTCCTCCCCCTCCTCTTCTTCTCCTCCTCCTCCTGTTCCTAGACTACTTCTCCCCCCTCCTTCTCCCTCCTCCGGCGACCCTCGACCCCCTCATCCTCAGCCCTTGTCTGGCGTCCAAATCCGCGACCCTCGACCCCGCCGCTCTAAGGATGCGGCGGCGGCGGCTGGGGCGGCTGCGGCGGCGGCGGCGGCGCACCCGCGTGGGGCGGCGGCGCGTCCAACGGCGCGTGGGGCGGCCAGGCCTTTCAGCGGCCGCCGCCGCCAGCTCTTTGCCCCCCGCTCTGCCGCGCTTGCCTCCGTCCGCGGTCGACTTGTGTGCTCCTTCCCCAAGATGAGTTTGAAACTATCATTATACTCAATTCCCTCCGTTCCCAGCGCAACACGCAGTACTCAACAGCTTTCTTCTCCAACGCCAAGCCCAAGAGTCAACCGGCTCCCTCCCCAAGTTGAATTTGAAACGATCATTATACTTAACTCCCCCCGTTCCCAACACAACACCCGGTAGGCACCAGCCTTTTTCTCCAACGCCACACCCAATATCCAACGAGCTCGCTTCCCAAGATGACTCCGAGAATGCCCTTCAACTCAACTCCCTATGTTTCCAACACCACACCCTGTACTCACCCGCCTTCGTCTACAACACCATATCCAATACTCAACGAGAGCCCCCCCAAGATGAACTTGAAAATGCAATGTTCGTCAATCTTCTCCGTTTCCAACACCGCACCCAGTACTCAACAACCTCCGTCTCCAAGGCCACACCCAATACTCAACAGGCTCCCTCCCCAAGATGAGCTTGAGAATATTCTTCTACTCAATGCCTTCCGTTTCCAACACCACACCCAGTGCTCACTTTCCCCAGCATTGTTCTCCAATACCCTACGCAGTATTCAACGAGGTCCCTTCCCAAGATGAACAAACAAATGTCATTATACTCAATTCCCTCCGTCTCCAACACCGCACCCAGTACTCACCCGCCTTCTTCTCCAACACCACATCCACTACTCAACGAGTGCCCTTCCCAATATGAACTTGAACATCAAATTTCACTCAACGCTTTCCGTTTCCAACACCACGCCCAGTAGTCACCAGCATTCTTCTCCAACACCACATCCAATATTCAACGACGAGCTCCTTCCCCAATATCAACTTGAACATGCAATTTTACTGAACTCCCTCCGTCTCCAACACCACGCCCAATACTCAACAGCCTCCGTCTCCAGCATCACACCCAATACTCAACAGGGTCTTTCCCAAGTCTGAGATTGAATATACCCTTCTACTCAACTCCCTCCGTCTCTAACACCACACCCAGTGCTCGCTCGCCTTCGTTCTTAACACCAGACCTAATACTCAATAGGCTCCCGCCCCAAGATACATTTGAAAATGCCCTTAAACCCAATTCTCTCCGTATCCAACACCAAACCCAGTGCTCACCAGCCTGTGTCTCCAACGCCACACCCAATTCTCAATAGACACCCTCGTCAATATGAACTTGAAACTCTCATTATGATCAAGTCCCTCCGTTCCTAACACCAAAAAACAAAGTCACCAGCAGTGGTCGCCAACATTGCCCCAACACTCAACAGGCTCCCTCCCCAAGATGAACTTGATAATACCATTTTACTCAACGCCCTCCTCTCCACCGCCACACCCAGTACTCACCAGCCTTCGTTTCCAACGCCACACCCAATGCTCAACATGCTCCTTCCCCAATGCGAACTTGAAACTATCATTTTCCTCAATTCCCTCCGTTTCCAGCGCCACACCCAGGACTCACGAGCCTTTGTATATCCAACGCCACAGCCAACAGTCAACAGACTCCCTCTCCAAGGTGAACTTGGGGTTATCCTTCTGCTCAACTTCTTCTGTCTCCAACACCGCACTCAATACTTACCAGCGCTCGTCTCCAACGCGCGAACCAATCCACTCCGAGGCCTCCTGTTTTTTTATGCTGCTCCTGATCCTGCTCCTGATCCTGTTCCTACTTCTCATGCTGCTGCTTCTACTCCTACTGTCTTGAGGTAGGAGTAGAGCCTTAGTTTCCTAGGGCCTCAGCGTCTTGAGGTCGTGGGGTCAGCGGCCCTGTGGGTCTCGGGCTTTTGGAGTATCGGGGCCTTTTGGCCTTGGCGCTTTACGGCGTCAGGCTTCTGCGGTCTCGACATCTCGAGAGGGCCTTGAGGAGGGATTTGACCTGTTGGGATCTTTGGGTGTTATGATCGTGCGGCCTTGCAATCCTGCATTATTTGAATTTTCGCGTACCTGAGTCCTCGGGCCTTGAGGCTTTAGAGTTTTATGCTTTTAGATTACTGAGATATTGAGGTCTTCAGGCCTTCGTGGCCGAATAGAGGCGTCAGGGGCGCCACCGGGCGTCAGGCTACCAGAGGCGTCAGGCCGAATTGAGGCGTCAGGAGCGACACCGGGCGTCAGGCCAATAGAGGCGTCAGGCCGAATAGAAGCGGCAGGAGCGTCACCAGGCGTCAGGCCAATAGAGCCGTCAGGCCGAATAGAGGCGGCAGGAGCGTCACGGGTCGTCAGGCTAATAGAGGCGTCAGGCCGAATAGAGGCGTCAGGAGCGACACCGGGCGTCAGGCCACTAGAGGCGTCAGGCCGAATTGAGGCGTTAGGAGCGACACCGGGCGTCAGGCCAATAGAGGCGTCAGGCCGAATAGAGGCGGCAGGAGCGTCACGGGGCGTCAGGCTAATAGAGGCGTCAGGCCGAACAGAGGCGTCAGGAGCGTCACGGGGCGTCAGGCCAATAGAGGCGTCGACACGGCTCCATTGACGAATCGATTTTTCAAATAGCGTCTACGTCTTCAGGCATTCTAGGGTACCCCCAGAACATATGTATGTATCTGTGTATATATACAGTACGTGTTGATATACATGTATATGCGCATGTATATGAGTATGTACTTGTAGAATGTATTCTCATATGTATACACGTACGTGCATGATTTTCCGTGGTTCGCAAAACTTGCTGAGCATTCATATGTATGTATACACATAAACATTCCCATGCATCTACAGACACATAATATAGATATGTGATAACAATTTTGCTGATGCTAATGACGACGATGCTGCTGCTGATAATGCTGATCACTGTGCTGATGACGCTAATGATGATGATGATGATGATGATGATGATGATGATGATGATGATGATGATGATGACGATGATGATGATGATGATGATGATGATGATGATGAGGATGATGATGGTGGTGGTGGTGATGATGCTGCCGCTGATGATGACGATGGGGCCTCTTCGGGGCCTCTTGCGGCCTCTTGGATTATGCTTACTGGTGTTATTAAACGAGTGTTTACTATCATGGTCTCATTTTTGTTAGTATACTTACTATTCTTATGATTCGCATCATCTCTACTATAACACTGCTGTTGTTGGTTTTGTTTATATTGTTTGTATTCCTATCTTCAGCTAGTCGCGTTGTTGTTCGATACATTGAAGTGATTATGTCTATGCATACTTGTTAGTGCCACTGTGTGTATATATGTTTGTGTATCTGTATATATGTTCATGTGTGTTTACCTAGCTATATTTCTCCCAATATATACACATTTATGCACATCTTCTGTACACATACACATCGATACCGAGATACAGGGTCGGCGGCTCCCAGCCAGGTGCCCCGACTCTCCATGGGGGCTCCGGGCGTCCAGGACCTTTCCCCAACGGCCCCAGAGCCGTCCCAGACGGCCTCCAGGCGGGACAAGAGAGTCCCGAGAGGCCTCCAAAACGATCGAATAACGCCCAAAATCATTCGCAGAGGCGCTCAATACGCTCCAGATGAGTAAATATGTTCCTCTCCGCCTCATTCTGCACTTGCCTCTTCTGCTGCCTGCCTTGCCACACCTTGACATTACTGCGGTACCATCCCGCAGCTATTCTTGTACTCAAGCGAGAAAAGGAGCGCGCCAGCCCTCGGCCGCCGCGCGTCGTCGGTCGTCGGCCGGCCGGACTTCCTCCCTTCCTATACTTGAGTGCAGTTGCTTAACGGTTCACGTGTAGTTTCATCGATGTCTCATCCCGTATCCTCTACTTCTGAGCAGAGTCAAGCTGAGACCTTAATTCCTTTGACATCTTCCCCCGATTCTCAGAGGAAAGCATGGTTATCAACCGGAGCCCGCGACCAAGTCGCAACAGGGGTGAGCTTTGATGAGACAGCCGAATGGCCCGTCGGATCGCAAGTTGTACAACGTGACGGGCAATAACTACAGGACAGCGGCCTGGGGAGGGGCCGCCTTCCCTCTTCTTCTAATAACATTCGGATTTCTCGCGGAAGGAGTAGGGGAGACGTTATATATTTGTCAGTAGATGATTCTCCCTCTCGACTTCCGATCGGTGATCGTGAACAGACCCCAGACCCGACGAGGCGGGATGGCACAACAGCAAAGGTCAGACGAGGAGCCTTCTCGTCTGGGGTTGCCGAATCCTCGGATACAATACATTCCAGCCCGATTGCCATGCGGACTATTGTGCCGGCCGTTGGCCAAGCCAGTGGGTCGCGAGAGGCTGCAGGGTCCAGTGGCGTGTACCCCGCCGTCCCAGACGGATGGGGGAACGCTCGAGGGACTCAACCCATCCCGATAGCCTTGAACGGACAAACCGGCCAGTATAGTGACGAACAGCTTGGTGATGAAGACGACATAAACTCCATGGAGGAAGACATTGAATACGCTAACTATCAAGTATCATTGAGCCGAGATTTGTCATCGATAATTGCTGCAGACCATCCCGCCCAAGACGGGAGGTCGTTCCCTGGGCAGGAGACAATTGACTACGATCACGTGGAAGCCCTTGGGAAAGCGTTTGCAGAACCAGACTCGGATACCGAGATAAGTGACCTGCCGCCCCAGGCGGTCGAGGTTGGAATTGGGTGCCAGTCTCATGCGAAGCACGACCGGGAGATCACAGGGCGAACTCCCGCTCCTCAATTCAAGAAGCACAGGAATGAAGATTACGACTTGACTGATTCCCCGCTTTAGGAAGGGTTCTATCGAACAGCCGTCGCCACAGGCGATTGGCAACCGTCGATGCCCGCTGTAGTTGAGGGCTATGAAATGCCCCCCCCCCCCGGCTTCGCTAAATGAGTTGATCAGACAAGACGAAAGGGATGAGGAGCTTCGAGAGGCGGCTAGGCCGCCAGAGAGTACGCGCGTCCGTCCTAGATCGTCTGTTTCGAGCAGGGGAAGGGCCAAGATGCCGCGATCTGGTG